GCGGAAAATTCCTTGGATTCGTCGTCACCACTAAAGGTATACATATCGATCCTGATAAGGTGAAGGCGATACATGAACTACAACCCCCTAGAAATCTAAGAGAGCTCAGAGGATTGCAAGGGCGGTTAGCTTACATCTGGCAGTTCATCTCAAATCTTTCTGGAAAGTGCCAACCATTCTCTAAACTAAACAAGAAAGGGGTGTCATTTATCTGGGACAACGCCTGCCAAAAAGCATTCGAAGATATCAAAACATATCTGACGAAACCTCCTGTTCTCGTTGCACCAAAATCAGGTAGACCGTTCTTGATTTATCTCAAGGCGATGAACCACTCAATAAGTGCTTTACTAGCACAAGACGATGATAATGGTCACGAACAGGCAGTCTATTACCTAAGTCGGACCTTGGTAAGCACCGAGTCTCGATATCCGATGATTGAGAAAGAATGCCTCGCATTGGTATTCGCAATGCAAAAGATGCGGCATTACTTGGTTGGACAGACGATTTATGTCATTTCCAACGTTAATCCAGTACGGGTATTTATGACGCAACCGGCCTCTATGAATTGGCGGTTAGCGAAGTGGGCCCTTCTCTTGTCCCAATATGATTTGCACTTCAAACAGCAGAAGTCAATCAAAGGACAAGCGATTTGTGATCTTTTGGCGTCAAATCCGACAACGGATACGGCAGAAGTATATGATGACTTGCCGGATGAAACCCACGAGGTTAACACTAAATCACACCAACAAGTATGGCAGTTATATTTCGATGGTGCTTCGAGGGCAGTTAATAGGGCAATAACCCCCGGATGTTCTACAGTCTCCTCCGGAGTTGGAGTTGTCTTAATTTCCCCGGGGAAGCGTGTGATGCCTCGGGCTTATTCACTGACTAGTCCGTGTTCCAATAATGTAGCCGAGTACAACGCACTTCTCATTAGGCTCAGTTTCGCCAAGGAGCTGGGGGTCGAATATCTCGAAGCTTTTGGGGATTCTCAATTGATAGTCAACCAAGTCCGTGGAGAGTATGAAGTCAGGAACCAAGACCTGATCCCGTACCACCAGGAGGCCATCAAAATGGCAGATTCTTTTGAAGAATTCTTTATTGAATACATCCCTCGTCTCCAGAACGCTTATGCGGATGCACTGGCAGCACTAGCGGTATCACTTGCGCAGCCTCCCGAAACTGAACTATTAGTCACAGTAAGGACGCATCAGTTCTACATACCCATATACGATATGGATATTGAAGAGGAAGATGATAGAAACATGAGCGCCAAAGAGGTGAATTCAACTCAAATTGGGTCTGAGTCCTGAGATTGGCGTTTTCCTATCATTGACTACGTCCAATTTGGTATTTTACCAGAGGATGTAAAAGAAAGGAAATCAATCCGCCGAAGAGCACCAAGATTCTTCTATAATACCGAGACCCATACATTATACCGTAGAGGGTATGATGGTTTGTTACTCCGATGCCTTTCGAATAAAGAAGCAGAAGAAGTTCTTAAGGAAGCACACGAAGGAGAATGTGGTGCGCATCAGCCCGGTCCCAAACTGTATGATCGTATCAGGAGAATGGGATATTTTTGGCCAACAATGGTTCGTGACGCAATCGAATACGCCTGAGAGTGTCATGCTTGTCAAGTACATGCAAATTATATGCACCAACCACCAGAGCGTTTACACACGTCAACCATGTCTTGGCCGTTCAAGACATGGGGTATGGACATTATCGGTCCTATTTTTCCCCCTTCGGTCAAAGGTGATCGATTCATTCTCGCAATCACGGATTACTTTTTAAAGTGGGCTGAAGCAATTCCGCTTAGAGAAGTGAAGACGAATAACGTCATCAGTTTCATCAAACATCATGTCATATACCGACATGGCGTGCCAAGACAGATCATTCATGACAACGGTCCACAGTTCATAAGCAACGCCTTTGTCAGGTTTTGTGACAAGTTCAAAATTCAAGATGTTTCGTCAACAGCTTATTATCCCGCTGCGAATGGATTAGCTGAGGCGTTTAACAAGACTATTAATTAAAATCCTATCAAAGCTCGTGATGACCAATAAATGAGACTGGGACGATAAACTCGGTGAAGCACTCTGGGCTTATCGTACCACCATACGCACACCTACAGGGGCCACCCCATATTCATTGGTAAACAGATGTGAAGCTATGCTACCATTGGAAATCCAAATCCCATCCCTACGGATCGCCCTCACGACTAAGATGACGACAGAAGAACAACATCAAAAACGTCTCGAAGAACTCGAAAGGTTGGATGAAAAGCGCTTGGAAGCTCAACAACAAATTGAGTTTTATCAAGCCCGAATATCTAGGGCCTTTAACAAAAGAGTCCGACAGAGAAGCTTCAAGGAAGGAAATCTGGTCCTCGCTGTTCGCCGACCGATAATCCTCAACTCCAAGAAGAAAGGTAAATTTAAACCCAAATGGGAAGGACCGTTTGTGATAGACACAGTCTACTCAAACGGTGCATATCACCTGATTACTCAAGAGGGCCGGGAAGTTCTTTGAAGAATATTACACTTAATATTCTAGAGGATAACCCAAAATCATTTTCACCACCAAAATCCCTCACTGATCAATTTCAATGGGCAGTGAGTCCACCAAAAGTGTCTTTCCGGCCCTCTTGACTCTTTCCATGAATAAGAGGTCCACTTTTAGTTCAGAGTCCCCTTTCGATAAACGAAAGAACTCCCTTCTTTTTCTCTTTGGTTAAGCCTTCTCATGGTTATAACCGAATTTAAAATTTCACTTCGATAAACGAGGAACTCATCTTCAGTTTAGATAACTAATCCTATAAAAGGTAAGGTTATCTAGATCTTCCAGATTCTCGGAGTGGCGATCCCACTTCTAGTTTCTTTTGCGCTGGAAATAGAATATAAAATTCTTCCTTTCCAGAATCAAGGAATAGAATATAAAATTATTCATTTCTTGTATTCGGGTTCGCCTTCACCCAAAAAGAAGACCGGGAAATAGAATATAAAATTCTTCCTTTCCCACACTAACCTTTTCCAAGAATTTGTCAATCTAGGATTCATCCTAGGAAGTTTATCCCGAATCCTAAGCAGGGATAAGTCTGCGCCTAACACGCACTGCCGGTTTAGTCTTTCTCCGAAGAAGAAGACACCAGAGATTGATTTTGGGGTATTCTGTCCTGAAACCTAAGCAGGGATAAGTCTACGCTTAACCCGCGCTGCCGGTTAGTTCTTAACCGTTAAAAAGAACACCCATCCACATATTCAACATTGTGGCAGGTCGTTATTAATAACACCAAAATCCATGCCTTACACGCATGGGGAATTTCATCCTGAATCCTAAGAAAGGATATGCCGACGCCTAACACGCGTCGCCGGTTTAGTCTTTCTCCGAAGAAAAAGACACCAGAGTTCAATTCTGGGGTATTCTATCCTGAAACCTAAGCAAGGATAAGTCTGCGCTTAACCCGCGCTGCCGGTTAGTTCTTAACCGTTGAAATCTCTTAGCACAACGTTACATGCGGAATGGATTTAGACAATCCGCATGCTAGCCCGACTCAAACGGTAGTCGGTAAAGGCTTATCAAACCCGTTGAAGGCTGAGGGTTTGCCAAAAATCCTATGAGTATTATGGTCAATCATTTCAAACGGAATGAGGAATTATAATAAAGATAAAGATAAAAACCAGTTCCACTAAGAGAATCAAAAGTCAAAGTATTCAGCAAATGAAATCATACATCAAGCCCATGGCTAAAAATCTGCTGACTAAACTTAGACAGCTTCTCGTCATAAGCTTGCCTAAGCTCATCCTGCAACTCGGCTCTGATGGACTCTTCAGTGGAGGCTAAAGTCTTCACAGCAATCTCCTCCGTCTCAACCAGCTTCTGCTTCAGGGATTTCAACTCATCAGATAAAGCAGTGTGGGCTTGCTGATCCTGTACCTTCGTCATCTGAAGAATACTCAAAGTCTCCTCTTCTTCACGGAGTTCTCTTCTGAGCTGGTCTATCTTGGTCTCACAAGAGGTAATGGAAAAATCAAGCTTGTCGAGTGAAGATGATCTAATAGCAAGGTTAGCCTCAACTCGGTCTACCCGGTCCCGCTGCACCTGAATCTCGAGCTCAGTAAAAATCCGAGTATCGCGCCATGTCTGTAAGAGAGCATCCAAATGGGCAGCAATGAATGAAGAAGCACCTGCATCCCGGAGCTCACGAAACATCTGAAGCTCGTGCTCTAGACAATCAAGGTCATCAACTATAGCCTTCGTCAGATCCGGGTATCTTGCATCCCTTATTGAATTTATTCTAGAATCAAGGAAAGGTTTAAACTGGTGAAGGAAAAGTCCGCCGTGGAAGAGTTTGCCAATCATAGCATTCATGAAGGAGAAGAAGGAGCGGACTTCTATGCAGATGACGATCTTCTCAGGGTCATTGTCCGATAACAACTCCTTCACAAGGACATGAAGCCGAGAAGAAAGCCCTACACAAAAAGGAGAAATCCGTCAAAAGCCTTAATAAGGAAATAAATGACATTTTTCAGTTGCTTAATTTATACCTCCTTCCCCTTGAATCACTGGGGGTAGTGGAGATGTAACGGCTGTGGATGTATCAGCTGGTGTAGTTGGTCTCACAGCCGGCTCAACAGGATCAGTCTTGACAAAAGCTCCTGTTAAGCACAAAACGGAATGCTCAAATGCATCACATTATAGCTGCATTAGTCAAAAATTGGCTAGTCCTATAATTAACTTGAGAAGAGGCACGTACCTTCAGAAAGACCATCCTCAGGATTCTTAGGGAGTGTAGACTCAGGAAACATATCTGCAGGCATCTGGTCATCAATCTGAGGAGAGCCATACATGAAGTGGAGCATAGGGGTGTCCACAAGCAAACCTTCCTCGTCAAAATCATCAGTCGAGAAATCTGACACAAGAGAATATAAGTGCAAAAGAAGAATAAAGAGACTACGACCAATGGAAATGAATTACCTCTTATGGGTGTGTGGGCCTCTCTATTCCCAAAATCCACGTTTGCCTCCTGCAATTTGTCTAAAAGAGCAAGAAGCATAGAGACAATTAGGGAATGCACGAATTCTGAATCGTTCAACTCCTTTGTGTGCCATCTAAAGGGTACATTGTCAATGATAGATCTACCTGGATTCGTTGAATCGAGTCCTACATTGATGGTCTCCCTAACGTCGGTAGCTTCTGCAGGCTTTTCTACCTGGTATGGTGAGTCAGGCTCACCAGAAAATACACAATCATGAGGAGTAGGATCAGGACTCATTCGCTATCCCCACGCTCTCCTACATAGAGATGGAAAAGCATGAGTCAAAGTTCTGAATGATGAAAAGGATGATCTATAGGGTAGATGTTACCTCCGTCGCTAGCGGGATCATCACTAGACAAATCCATCTCAGATGCTCGCGAATCTGCATGCGGCTTGTGGGCTAATCTATTCCGCCTAGCAGCGGGGACAACAATCGAAGGTCTCGCCTTGGAAAAAGGACGGAATTCTTCATCCTTGTCGGTTGCGGTCCCTGAAACATCAAACAACTGTCAAGATTAATAATTCTGGAAGACAGAAGGAAAGAATAGGTAGCTAACCTCGCTCGGAACAATCCTCGTAATCTTCAAGATCTCCGCCAGAAGCCTCATCAGCAGAATGGAAGGTCTTCTTTCCCTCTTCGTCAATCCAACGAGTCTTGCTCCGTGTCCTCTGTGACCGAGCATTTTCCCAAATCACACGAGAATCAGCCTGAGAAGCTTCCTCGGCCACTAGCTCTGCAATCGGCTTCACGGGAACAGTTTTATTAGATATGGCTCTATAAAACACTGATTCCTCACCCGGAAGGTCAGATAACCTGGCCTAATGTTCACTAGTCAATTAAAGCAGCCGATATCTAAATGAGTTTGATACTCCCTCGGCTTCTCTTCATCAATCAAACACTCGCCATATCGGCTGAAGAACTGCGGGAAGCAAGTGGAAAAGGCCCAACATTTATGGACCTGTAGCTGCTTTCTGATGTCAGGGAATCCTCCCCCCTCCCCCCTGCCATTCTCAAACAACTGTAGTAAGGGGGACATAGCGGTCTACGGTGCTAGGTATCGACATCATATCAGGACGGTGAAGGACAAACCAAGCCATCAAATAAGTGTATGGGAGCTCCACCTTAGAAAGAGGAATCTTAGCCGACGGTGCATCTTCTTTCTGTGTGAAGGTACTAGAGATCTAGCGAAGCCCTCGATGAATGTTAGCTACCATCACCGGAAGAAGCGAAAGTTCCTTCTTATAGGCAAGCTGGAAAGTTCCTTTTTGTAGGCAAGCGGAACCGCTGGGTAGAGCACTTCCAATGGCATAATATCACCAGACTGATACGGGACCACGCATTTCTTTAACCAGATAGTGAGGTAACCGGCAAGAAGGGTCATCGGCTGAATCGATGCGGTCGCATGCCATAAGAACGATTTAAACTTGGTCCCTGCAGGAAAGCCACTCTCGGGACTGCTAGTGGTATAAGAGTGAGCGTTGATCTTCTTCAACAGACCATTAACTTCTGAAGGAGTAAGCGTTGCCAGTTCATGGGCAAACCAGAAATCCTGATATAGCATCTGACCCATGGGATCCTTCAGCTGACTCAATTCATGGTTGGAGGGAAAGTATTCCTGATATAGCATCTGACCCATGGGCAAACCAGAAATCCTGTGCATCTCATGGAGAGCCAAGCCCAACTCCCCTTGATGGGTCAGAAAAGTGTTCGAATCCGGGTTATAGAGCTCGCACAAAGCGAAGAAATGCTTTGCACTGACAGGTAAGCCATACATAGTGGAACGAATGGCTGCATATAGACCACAAGCGTGCAACTCCTCGCTCCATCGGCTTAAGACATACTTCGTCATACGAGCCTACCAAAACTTGTCTAAAGAATGGACCCAGCCATAGAATCTGTGGCGCGCCGCGGGCAACTCCCGTCCTAAGTTGGCGAGACGATTCTTCAAAGTAGAAGCAGAAGCAAGAAATTCGTTACGTGGCGGTGCATCCAGCCCCAATACTCCAGGACGCAATCCAACGATATGACTCCTGCTCGAACCAGGAGTTGCCTGATGAGTGATATAGCCACAGTGAACGCTCTCATGCTCCTCCGTCAAGCGCCACGACATCTCTCGTGTCACAGCCTGACGCCTGAGCTCAGTCAACGAACGGTGTCGAGGAATCTTCGGCAAATATATGAAACCACCGCAGAGTAAGCGGAATAGGTGAAAAATCATCGGAGGTTGAATAATACTCGTCACGACGTCCGTCCACTGCATGAGATGAGAACGCTCTAGAGGGATATTCCACTGAAAACAAGCAATTAAGTGTTTGTTAGTCTCAGTTATAAAAGGAAGTTGAACTCATCCTACGAACGGATAAGATAGAGTCACTGCCTTATAAAGGGTGAGACGATTTGGCCACATTATGCACTTATAAGGTAGGATATATCAAAAAACATATCCCTGCCTTATAAGGCACAATGCAGCGTCAAAACGCCCCCTTTATTTATTTTGAGATATGGTTTTGACCAAGCAAAACCCATCTTTAAAGCGCCGATCCTCACCAAGGAGAATCAAGGCTCTTCCCGATTGCCTCACCAAGGAGAACAAAATGGGGATAAAGGACTAATCTACAAATACGCCAAAAAGAGATCACCAGCATACGAGGGAAGCACGCCATCAGCCGATGCAGTAGGGGAGCGACCTCTCGGGACATGCGACATGATGATCTGCAAAGTAAATCAGGGGGTCAGATACAAAAAAAAAATTTAGTTAGAGTGACAAACTCTAACCCTAAATTTTATCCCCTCGTTTTTATAGTTAAACCCCTCAGATCTCCAAATTTTACCCCCTGAAAGATGAGCTCGAGGCGCCAAATTACAAACCCTAACCCTCATATGCAATCCCACAAATTCATGTACTAAATTAAACATGAAATATGCCAAAATTATGGAGGATTTACCTGAGGAAAAGCTCGAGGAATTAGATCTTGAAAGAGGCTCGAACCACGTGCTCGAGGGGCCTGAGAGAAATTTTTATATGGGGATTTTTGAGGGATTTTTCAGTCTAAGATCAAAAGGAATGATGGATCTAAGACAAATATGAGGATTTGAGGGACAAAGGATGCACGAGGGAAGAGAAATCAAAAAAATTGGAGAAGAGGGGGGCCGGCCCTAAAGAGGAGAAAAAGAGGTTCTTTTATAATTGAACCAGCCTTGAACCAGACCGGACCAGGTTGAACCAAACCAGACCAGTCCAAATCAGTTCAAAGGGGGCTGAACCAGACCAGACCAGGCCGAACCAGGCCAAACCAGACTGAACCAGACCAGACCAGGATGAACCAGTCTGAACCAGACTTGAACCAGTCCTGAACCAACCTTGAACCAGGTTGAACCAGTCTTGAACCAGGTTGAACCAGGTTGAACCAGTTTGAACCAGGTTTGAACCAGATTTGAACCAGAATTCAAATTGAAGCTGAACCGAGCATCGAAACGACTTCAAATCGACCGAGGGTTCAGTCTTTTGTTTATTCTTTCCTTTCCCACACATTCGGAAGGGTCGGAAGATTTTTTGAGCCTAATTACTGCCTTTTTTGGGTCATTATCAGGCCGGTTCAGCTCATTCGGGCACGAAAAATACTCCAATAAGGTATACGAGTATAAACTATTCCCTATTTTTGGTTGAGAAGTTTCTGGAGAATATTTTTCTAAAAATATTCTTAAGGATAACTCAACAACACTACGCCGGACAACGCGTCGCAAATGAGAACTCAACGCCAACAATCGATGGTCAGTTTTATGTTGAACCAAGAAACACGAGCTAAAGATTAGAAAATCAGGAATCGACTTCAAGTTCAAAACTCCGACAACGGTCAGACAATAAATGCAGCACCAGAACCCTTGCAGACATTCGACAAAGCACCGAATATGCTGAAGGATTGAAGGAATCAAGAATAGAAGCCATTCAAAAGTCCCGTCATACCGATTGAAGGTTGGGGCAATCATATCCAAAGCATTCCAGACTCTTCTATAAAAGAACGAGGCTGAAATACTTTGGAGGGGGTATCTGTAGGCGTATAAAACTGCTTATAGGTTCCTTAACACAGCTCGGCACGGTAATTTAACAAACCAACGAACCATCGGGCGACATATCCAAACACGATCATTGGACCACAACACCGAAGCGGATTTACTGCCAAATCATGATCCGGACTGCCAAATCAGAGTCCAGGTCATCAAATCAAAGTTGGGACAAACCGGAAAACGGGTGCAAAACCAAACACCTGGAGGACTCGGCCGAAACCGAGCCACCTCTAGGTGGCTCGGCCAAAACCGAGCCACCAAGAGGTGGCTCGGTGGCCGAGCCACCTAGGTGGCCGGCCACCTGGGCCAAGCCCAGATCTGGGCCCAGATCTGAGCCCAGATCTGGTTCTAAATGCCTATAAATAGGCTTGGTGGCTCATTGTTTTGGAGGTTGGAATTTTGGAGCCGAAACTCTGCTGGATTGAGAACTTACCTTCGGATTTTCAAAGCTTTGAAGACTTGGACATTTTCATATCTGGTTCTTGGCGAGCATCCACGTCAAAAAAAGACAGGAGTTCGAGAGAGAGAGATCAGATCTGAGATCCACACGGTAATACTCCGGATCAAAACTTGGTTTTTGATCCCGAGAAGGCTATTATTTCCTTGGTGAAATAGTACCCCCGGCTGTTATTTCCTTTGTGAAATAGCACCCGTCATACCATGTAGATCCGACCGGATCAAGATCTTGCGGTGGTCCACGTATTAACCCTGGCGCAGGCGAAGAACCCACACAAGCGAGAGACCGCAAAACAGGATCTCGCGATTTGTTCGACAAATAAGAACCCACACAAGCGAGAGACCGCAAAACAGGATCTCGCGATTTGTTCGACAAATAAGGAAAGTTGTAAATTTTTATTTTTTTCTTTGATCTCGTTGTAACCGGATCTTCTAAAAAGACCGGATCTTTGTAACCGATAAACTATTAACAAAGGAATCAATGGAATCAATGAGTGCAATTTTCCCCGCGAACAGCGATAAAGGGGCTTGAAGATGTAGGAGATTTTTGGAGAGAGTAAGCTTAGGATTTACATATATAAAGGAGTGAGGGTCAACAGAGAGTCGTTGATGGGGAGATCGAGGAAAGCCGTAAGGTTATCATAACTATCCTGTATGGGAACAATCCAAGGGATGGTGAGGTTACCACGTGGGATGTAGGGATAGGTAGGAGTAAATGTTATCACAACTCTCTTCCTTGGGAACTATGAAATACAATGAATGCATTAGCAGTCAATATATCTTGGTGACCGTGACAACCAAGTGCAGGTGAAATACAGTAAACTTAACATTCAAGTTAGTTGCCTACGTTAGTTCTAGCTGAGTTAATGTTATTTGGTTCTGTTGCCTCTGTTAGTCCTAGCCTCGATAATGTTAGTCCTAACTGTTGTGGGGTTTATCCTAACTGATATCGTGTTGGTTCTACCTCCAGCTAACTCAAGTTCTAGTGTAAGCATTGGTTCTATTGCCTTTGTTAGTGCTAGCTAGGATAATGTTGGTTCTAGCTATTGTGGGGTCAGTTCTAGCTACATTCATGTTAGTTATACCCCCAACTAGCGCTAGTTATAGCGTAATGGTTGGTTCTATTGCCTCTGTTAGTCCTAGCCTCGATAATATTAGTCCTAACTATTGTGAGGTCAGTCCTAACTGATATCGTGTTGGTTCAACCTCCAGCTAACTCAAGTTCTAGTGCAAGCATTGGTTCTGTTGTCTTTGTTAGTGCTAGCTGGGATAATGTTGGTTCTAGCTATTGTGGGGTCAGTTCTAGCTGCATTCATGTTAGTTCTACCCCCAGCTAGCGCTAGTTATAGCGTAAGCTTTGGTTCTGTTGCTTTTGTTAGTTCTAACCTCGATAATGTTAGTGCTAACTGTTGTGGGGTCAGTCCTAAATGATATCGTGTTGGTTCTACCTCCAACTAACTCAAGTTCTAGTGTAAGCATTGGTTCTATTGCTTTTGTTAGTTCGAGCTGTTGTGGGGTTATTTCTAATACTTACAACATTTCATCTAAGGGAGATGGTTTTACTTCTTATTTAACATGAAAATACTTTCAACCGGCCAAAATGAAATATTTTGTAAATATGCTATCAAAACAGATAACAACATATCAAGGTCAGCTATAGGTTCAGTACATGTTTTACGGTTATGACCTTCCATATGACATCAATACATTTAAGTGGCCGAGTATAAATAGTTCTGTTATTAATACGCCTTGTTTTATTTCTCTCTTTCCTTTTTGTTGTTAGTGGAGGTAAGATCTGTATCTCATCACGTGGCACGCTACGCTTCTCGTAGTCAGGGATAGGATATAGGATTGGCTCGTAACTCTTTTTAAAACATTTAACCGTCATAAACCAATCACAGAATTAGTAAACATCCCTCTTCATAAACATAATGGTTATGCATGCATGTTTGCAAGGAACACGGGTTATATCCCACACATGACACGAGCATGTTTTATTGTTAAGATCCACTTAACAAGTTCTATGGAACTGTACCTCAAATAATCTTGTGTCGGACTGACGCACCTCCAATGGCTGCCTATTTTCTATGTTCTCTTTGAGGGCAAGTTCAGCTTTGGGGAAAAAAATTGATTCGAATTTTCATCCATGACTTGTCACTCATTCATGCGAACTATAATCTGTTTATGTGTGTGCTCTACCAGTTGAAGTATCCGTAGAAGCCTAGCCTCATGTATCCATTTGTTGAATGACTCTTCAACATTTGATGTAACGTGACCATATCTGAAACATAACAGGGAATTCATCAAAACTTCTTATTAGTTCTACTGAGTCATTGTTAGTTATAGTACAAGTGTTGGTTTTAGTGGCTATGTTAGTTCTAGCTAAGCTATTGTTAGGTCTATCTACTTCTGTATTAATTCTAGATGCCCTCATGTTAGTTCTACCTCTAGTTAGCGTTAGATCTATTATAAGTGTTGGCTTTAGTGGTTTTGTTAGTTCTAGCTAAGTTGTTATTTGTTCTATCTGTTATCGTGTTAATTCTAATTGCATTCATGTTAGTTCTACCCCCAGCTAACGCTAGTTATAGTTTAAGTGTTGGTTCTATTGTCTTTGTTAGTTCTAGCTTAGTTGTTGTAAGTTCTAGCTTCTCCAGTGATAGTTCTAGTTGTTCTTGTGTTATTTCCACCTCCATATAACTTTAAGTTCTAGTTTAAGTGTTATTTCTATTGAATATATTAGTTCTAGCTGGGTTAATGTTCGTTCTAGCCGTGTCGTGTTAGTTCTATCCATTCTCGTGTTAGCTAACGGAAGGTCTAGTTTAAATGTGGATTCTAATGCCTATGTTAGTTTTAGTTGTGTTCTAATGCCTATGTTAGTTCTAGTTTAAATGTGATAGTTCTAGCTGATCTCGTGTTATTTTCACCTCCAGATAACTTTAAGTTCTATTTTAAGTGTTGGTTCTATTGGATATGTTAGTTCTAGCTGGGTTACTATTAGTTCTAGTCGGGTTAATGTTAGTTCTAGCCGTTGCCGTGTTAGTTCTAACCGTTCTCGTGTTAGCTAACGCAAGGTCTAGTTTAAATGTGTGTTCTAATGCTCATGTTAGTTTTAGATGTGTTATTGTTAGTTCTAGTGTAGGCATTCATGTCAAAATTCATTAATCAAACGGCTTAACTAAGATAAGAAATGAAATAGCTTATAACTTACCTAATTCTAGGAATAAACACGTTTGCCCAGTCCTCTGGAGCATAGTTCATGACAATATTGTATGCTCTTTTGTTAACTAGTCTAATGTCGTCCATATGATCATTCCATTCTGCTTCAATATATTTGTAACAAGCAGATTTGTCACGATCCTAATTTTCGGACCTAAAAGGAATATTGGAGCCGGACTAAATCTGTGAAAAATCCTCCAAAAATGTACATTCATTAAAAGACCATCAGAATAATCTCTTCATTGAACTAAACCAACAATAAATATTCTCTATATTTCCCAAAAGTCAACATTAATCCAAATAACTTGATAAAAATAAATATTCCTCAACTTGATATTAAACTCAACCTAAAGGGAAATATTTTATTATTACAAAGCTTCTAATATCAACTAAACATCAAAGGCTTTATCTAACCTTCATCTAGAAATTCATAGCAATATTAAATATTATTCTCTGCTCCATTCTAAGTACTCATGAACCATCAACTCCACCTAATCCCAAGTCTCTGAAAAGAATGAATATAACACAATGAGTTCACAACTCAATAAGTGAATAAATTTGTACATTAAACACTGGTTTTGCAAAAACTCAAATATTTCGACAAATAATAAGAAAAATATAAGAATGATAGAGAATCATCAATGAATTCTAGTACTTGATGCAAATATTTAAGAAAACTTACAAAAAATCATGAAATGGAAATAAGCAGGCTACGTCTCAATGCGGTTAACAATTCATACTCCAGTTGACTTGGTAAACCCCACAATTATTAAGCCCGTGGTTCCGGGACGGTGAGACCCAAATTTGGGCTCTTAGCACTAAAATAGAACCTCATAGTGGCACATTGAGTCATGTTTTAATAACTTGCTCATATCCGACATATACCGGTATATTGACTTGAGATGCATATGATTTAAAAAGAAAAATGAGCAAAGTTCACATAACCAAGTATGTTATATAGAAATGCCAAAGGCCAACCAATCATAAAATTAATCAACCACATATGCATCTCAACCTACTACTATATATAAAGACATAACAATTGACAAACAAAAAAAGCATAGACTTATACCAAATAACCATGTGGATTCATCCAATCGATAATTAGTATGCAAGCAACCATACAAAGGGTATAATCCATCAGACACAAATTTATATACATTCAATATAATTTTATATGAAAAATATGTAGCGAATAATGTACAAGTTCACCACTTACCTTAAGCGAAACGACAAATCCAAAATGAGCTCACAACTTTTCTGCAGAGCTCTATAAATTCAATTGCAACACTGCTTGGAGTCCTTCTACATATTTCCATTGACCATCAGCCCAAAATCATTAAGTCGCAATAGAGACTCACATTTTGACCGATCAGGATGCTTAATCTCCTTCTACATCTTTTTAGGGCACGAGTCTCCTTCTACATCTTTTCAGGGTACGAATTCTCTGCTACTACCAGAGATGAAGTTGCACAAACAACAAATTGAAGTTACCACCATAAACTCGGACATCAGGATGACATGAGGTTCCCATTAACAGCCAATCTCATTTATCAACAAAAATACCCAGCTGAAAAGCTTTTTAGGTTGCAAATCAAATTAATCCCCAATCACATCGAATTAGTCCCCAATCTCGCAGTGGTTGAGAACGAAAAGGGACTTCTGGCGACGGTGGTGGCCAATCTAAAGGATAGTGAGAATGGGGGAGCCATGTGAGATATCAGAGAGGGGAAGCAGAAGAGTGAGGGTTATGAGGCGGAGATAAGAAATTTTGCCGAGGATAGGGAGAGAGGGATATTTTGAGGCACAGGTTTTTTTTGTGTGGCGGAACGGGAAGAAGAAGAAGAGGATGATGTGAAAGAGGGTAGGGTTTTGGAGTATTTATAGGAATGCTTTCTGCCATTAGAACCCTCTAAGAAATTTTACACAAAAGTCTATTTACGTTTCTTTACATATATTGCCAAATAAAACTTAGGATTATTACAAGATTGTAAAAGATTCCCTAAAATCTAAGTATCCTTTGCCTTGAATCCCAAATCCCTCAACTTTGTCTTGAAGTTATCAACTAGATGCAGAACACATCGAGAGTGTATAGCATCTGGGAAAAATTCTCTAACCGCTTCTCTGATCCCCTTATCCGCATCTGATATTATAACAAGCTTGTGTGGAGGGTTGTATGGATCTGACCTTTCGTAAAAAATAGACCACAAACCTATAAAGAGTTGTAGTTAACATACACGAAATTAGAATTAATAAGGAAAGAGTTAGAACTATCATGATCTGCAATAGAACTAACTTGGCTCAGGATAGAACTAACCTTGTAATAAGCACTTCCAGTTAACGTTATTTTCCTAATCACATATGCAAGAGGCTAATGAAAATATCCCCTGATTTCCATCATATGCTACGGTGCTGAGGAGTATACCTTTGAATTGATCTTTCAGAAAGGTACCATCCAGAAATATAAGCGGTCTATATCCGTGCAAAAATCTATTTATGCAGGCGGCGTAGCAAATGAATAGCCTTATAACCTCCCCACATGTTGTTCAACATGAATGTAGCTACCTGGGTTTGTTTTCTTAACCTCTTCTACATACCTAGAAAATTAAAGATTAAGTGTTAGGATCAACATTAAGAAATTTCGTATAAACAAACAGCATCACATGAATGAAATTAGTTTGTATATTGTAGGTATTATCTTGTTTCTACCATCGTAATTGATCGTAGGACTCATGGGCATCGCCATATAATTACTCTTGTGCTCTTTCTTTATCCCACCATATCTTACTATAATCGACTCTAAGCCCATATGAACTTAAAAACTCTTTTTGTACGTCAACAGGTCGTATATCCGGTCGGACCTTTAACATGGGTTGTAATTGAGTCGTAATGAATTGTCGAGAGACCCTAGATTGACCTGCATTATTACCATGTTGCCCATAAGTGTGATTGTCCATGAACATTTTGATTTCAAGTCTATTTTCATCTTTAGGTGGAGAGGCAAATAACACCCACGGGCAATTTTTGGCTTCATTAAACCGACAAAAAACTCGAATACGCTTCGGTTTATTCTTTCCAAACTCGTACTCGAATTGTTTTTCCATAGAGTAGTATAGCAAGGCTAATCTTAATTCCTTCACACTTTCCAACCGTTGTCCCTTACCATTTAACGTAGTGTGCCACCAAGCAGGAATCCTCTTTGTTTTGTTAATCATGTCATCAAACATCAAAACATCATCTTCGAAAGGATTGTTATTGGTAATCCTATCTAAAACACATGTGGTCATCGATAACGGCGGGCCACAATCTATACTTTTTGAGTTCAAACTGCTGGAAACGCTACAAATATTAAGAACATAAATAATTAATCATAAACTACACAAATAGTAGAATAGACCCCACAACAGCTGGAACCAACATTATCCCAGTTAGCACTAACAAAAGCAATAGAACCAACGCTTACACTAAAACTTGAGTTAGCTGGAAGCAGAACCAATACCATATCAGTTAGGACTGACCTCACAATAGTTAGGACTAACATTATCGAGGCTAAGAATAACAGAGGCAACAGAACCAACGCTTATGCTATAACTAGCACTAGCTGGGGGTAGAACTAACATGAATGCAACTAGAACTGACCTCACAACAGCTAGAACCAATATTATCCCAGCTAGCACTAACAAAAGCAACAGAACCAACACTTATACTAGAACTTGAGTTACATATATAAAGGAGTGAGGGTCAATAAAGAGTCATTGATGGGGAGATCGAGGAAAGTGTGAGTCGTAAGGTTATCATAACTATCATATATGGGAACAAGCCAAGGGATGGTGAGGTTACCAAGACATAAATATTGATCTTAGCTTCAAAAAACCCAATAACCTACATGTCTTGTCGAACTTGCTCATTTTTTGGATATTTGAAGAAGCATCGTTTGCTTCTTTATTGGCTTTCATGTGAACCTCTTTCGGTCCAAGATTGTGGTAATACTCCATCATAGATGACAGATCCCCCTCGTTCTCAATAGGAAATTTGAAGCTTCCATTCGTTTCATCTTTGTATGACAAACTTAATGAATCATATGGAAGATCTAACCTCTCTGACACTAAATTTGAGGTCCAGAATGGTAATTGAAGAGTTAATCTTCATGAATACGGCTTTATCCCCTGAAGAGACAATGTGGATGATGTCCTTCTCAGCTATTATGAAGGGAAGGTAAGAGTAATGGATAGAATTTTAGGATAAGTCGGAGTAATAGAGAGAGTAATGGAGAGAATTTTCGTCTAAGGAGGGGTAATGGAAAACTAAATAGTTATTGCTCATGATAGTGTAAAAAAAGGGGGGAACTTTCCCTCTATTTCTTTCATCATATCGCATTAATGAGAAGTGAATAATGTAGCTTTTAGGGACGAGTCATCGTTTGGGGAAGAATGAGAAGGGCAAGTTTGGGTTTTTGACAAAATACAATCTGTTTTAGTATATTTCTGACATGGAAGAGCCTTGCCATATTAAACGTCACTTTTGGGTTTTATCCACATGGGGCAGAGTATAAGGGGCCTCGTCACATGAAGTTTTTGCTTTTGGGGCATGGACACATTTTTCCCTATAATATAATATCACATTATAGTCTATTCGATTGTAATAAAATGTAATATTAAGGATGAATTTAGTGTGGGGGCATTGTGGGCACGTGTCCTCACACACTTTATCAAAAATTTAAAAGTTTGTTAATTTATGGAGAGGTGCCACCATAAAATTTTGATGGGTGCCCGCATCCAAAAGCTTAAATAGACCCAAATGCACCCCGGAGGCCCAAACCACCTATAAAACCATATACTTGTTATGAAACAATAAAATGATGTGGATGTCCATTTAGTTTCCCAAAGAGATTGATACTTATATTACCCCTTGATATTCTCTATGAGTAATTAATATGATTCATGTATCATCATCTTAGTTTGTATATAAATAGAGGTATTCCTACCACACTTTGAAAGAAAGAATTGAGGAAATAAAATTCTTTCTACTTCTTGTCTACTTTCTCTACTCTACTTTATTAGTTTTACTACATTATCAGCACGAGACTCTACCATTGAAATAATCCATTTCAAGTCCATTAGAATCTTCATTTGCATTGGATAAACCTTTGAGGTAAAATTTCTCTTTCCAATTCAATTCATTTTTTACTATGACTAACCTTACAAAATAAGAACTTATACCTATTGATATTTGATACGTGTGTATCTTCTTCTCTACTTCGGGAGCTTAGTGATCCTTATGGGAGCTTGAGGATAGGTGATTCTCATGATATCTCGAGAATAGTGGTGTGAAGTGATACAGCGGAGCACAGGATGGAGCGTGAAGCGAGTCGGAAGAACGAAGAATCAAAGCATGATACGGGTGTATCTTCTCTTCGGAACTTAGCGATCCTCATGAGAGCTTGAGGATAGATGATTCTTATGATAGCATGAGAATAGAGGTGTCAATCAGTACAGTGGAACGCAGGTGGAAGCGTGGAACGAGACGACGAGCAGCAGATTCGAAGAATCCAGTTTTTTGCTCGTGAGTCGACTCATACATGTACATGAGTCGACTCATCAGGTTGAGTCGACTCATGCCTGTCATGAGTCAACTCACGAAACCCAGCCGTTTTGTCAAAAGTCTCTGACCAGTCGACTCATCGGTTATGAGTCGACTCATATGTGGTCATTAGTCGACTCACAACTGTTCATGAGTCGACTCACGAAGGTTTCCTGGTTCGTTTGGGTTTCTGTTTGCACGAATTCCTATTGGGGTTTGGTCTAGTTATTTACCAGATTGCCATCCACGTTTGTACACCTATATAAAGGGTTGTTTAGGGTTTCTAAACATCATCTGAGAATCAGAAGAGAGGTGAGAGGCCAGATGTGGATCTAAAGGGTTTTTGGTCTAAGTGAGATCCTAATCAAAAAAGGATTAGGGTTTAGATTGTGAGGATCTATGAGATCTTAGATCAGAGAGAGATTCTAATCATTGTATTAGGGTTTAGAGAGGATTGAGAGGTTGTTCTCGATTCTAGTGAGATTGTGAGGGAGAGATTTATAATAATTGATTCTTCATAATCTAGAGAATGTATTTTCCTTCGCCATACTGAATTGTTCTTGTGTTTTAGTTGTCTTCTTCTCAACCTACCTTTTGGTAATTCCGCGACCAAAGGGTGCTCGTACGGTGAGTCGTATCAAGTTGGTATCAAAGTGATCAGATCCTATGAAGGGGGTATCCTGTGTATGGTCCTGACTCGATCGCAATACAAGAAGCTAGGCGAGATCCTTTTCTTTGGAAGGAGTTCAGAGATTAAGGAAGAAGAAGATGATTGAAGGCCACAAAGATGGAGGGGCCCGAGAGTTCCCTCAGCAGAAGTTCTAAACTTGAAAGGGACTTCAAGTTCTTAAAGTGGGGAGCCATGATACATGTGTATCTTCTTCTCTGCTTCGGGAGCTTAGTGATCCTCATGGGAGCTTGAGGATAGGTGATTCTCATGATATCTTAAGAATAGTGGTGTGAAGCGATACGGCGGAGCACAGGATAGAGCGTGAAGCGAGTCGGAAGAACGAAGAATCAAAGCATGATACGGGTGTATCTTCTCTTCGAAACTTAGCGATCCTCATGGGAGCTTGAGGATAGATGATTCTCATGATCGCATGAGAATAGAGGTGTCAATCAGTATAGTGGAACGCAGGTGGAAGCGTGAAACGAGACGACGAGCAGCAGATTCGAAGAATCCAGTTTTCAGCTCGTGAGTCGACTCATACATGTACATGAGTCGACTCATCAGGTTGAGTCGACTCATGCCTGTCATGAGTCGACTC